GTGACCTCGCTGACGCAACAATATTTAGTCCTTTCCTTCTGCCCTCAGCTAACTCTATCCCATTATTCCTGGGTACGAATATCCGTCACCTAACATGCTCGCCCTCTCAATCGTAGGGGCGTTATAATGTAACGGTCAATCCCATTATTCGTTGGATAAAATAGTAGACCGAGAGTTGGCGATGGGTAGTGTTGACTAGCTCCCTTTCCTCTTGTCTATCTCTCTGAAATTAGAGACGGCTAGCGCAGATAGCCATCCCTCTTGTAGCTTTGCGCGAAATTCAAAACACCTCAACACTACTTTGCCACCACTAACAAAAAAAAAAAAAAAAACAAACCTAGAAACACCACTACCAACGCCTCAGTTTCGCTATAACACATTTTCTATGTTTTATTAAAAAGGTATTTTTGGTATAACATGTGAGGAGTTTCAATATATCAATTGTAATTGGCAGGAAACCCAGTTATTTGAACAAATCCGAATTATATTGCTTATTTCTGAACATTTAATGCGTTCAGTTATTTGACTTTTATGTATGTGTAGATTCTCAAACAACCTATGATTAAACATCGAGGTATCTTAACTTTAACAGCCTACTGAAATAATGGTGCCTAAGAGTGAGGAGGTGGAAGAACAGTTTTTCCATTAGTTACAGGGAGAGAGAGAGAGAGGCAGTTTTTTAAGTTTAGTAATATATTTTGTCTCAGAGAAAAGAAGGTGGATTATATCTCGCTAAGTATGAGTTGTCTCTAAGTTATTAACCAAGACGTGGGGGTGGGGGATATTAAACAACCAAGAGCTTTAATACATTTATAATGTTCAATTAACGTTGTTGTACAAGTATATAGTGCTTTTTCGACAAATGTATAAAGACAACTATTTTCACTAACTAGTCTTGGTTTTTAATAAACAGCTGTTTGGCAAGTTATTATTTTTCTTTCATTAAATGTCCCTCGGTGGGATAGCGGTAAGTCTACGGATTTACAAAGTTAAAATCTGGGGTTCGATTCCCCGCGGTGAATAGCCTAGTGTTGCTTTGCTCTAAAATAAACAAGCTGACAAAGACACATTTGAATAAAAATAATACAAAGTCCATGGAATATGGTCATTGATAATGCATGTCGGTAAACGTTTTATTTTTAAACTTCATGCTCCATAGATAGATCAGTAGAGTCAGTAGGAGTATTTTTGGTATTGGGAGGGGGGGAACCAAAAAATTAAAAAATCATAACATTATAGTGTTTATCAGTTATGTTGTCAAACATCATTGATTATATTTGTACACGTGCGCTGGAGCGTTTCAGGTAGACCGGGCAGCAGCCGCACCAACATTTTGTCACAGTAACTGTAGGACTTTTTAAACTTTAACTTGCACTTCAAAAATTGTTTCTAGGTAAATAGATAGACTTATAGTAGTATGTACGAAATGGTATGACAATGCATAATAAATTACATGTGTAACCTGCAAGTGTACGAGCTTGTGTTTGCTTATAGCTATGGTGAGTATAAGTGCCAGTGAGCATCTATTTTCGTGAATCATGAAAAATAGCTTGCAAATGATTAATACTTTCAATAAATTATAGTAAAGGTAGCACAAAATTCAATTTCAGAGCACTTATTTTTCAAAATTTTCCTATCAGTGAAATGCTTTGCATAATATTCTGAGTTGCCTGACCAATCCACAAATGCTTCCTCCAATCCTGTTATAATAACACATTTAAATGCAAAAAAAAAAGAAAAAGATAACATACATAGGTTATACTTTATCTATTATAATGTATAAATAAGTTTAAATTACTTAGAATACACACATACAGTCATGGAGTATAAGTGTATAATTTGTGGTGAATATTTTCAAAATGTACAATCGTATGATCATCATTTCGGGAACAATTCATTTTGTCGAGCGT